GCTGCTCCTCAGAAGAAAGGTTGGGCAATCTACCTCCGTAGTGATACCGCCTCGGAAACCCAAGAAGGGGTTGCTATCAGTCAGATCTGACTCGATGGCAGTGAGTTTGGTTTTTTGGTTTTAGTTAAGCTTTGGTAAGTTAAGGTTTAGTTATATTAGGTATATATGGCCTGAGTTCTTAAGGAATGGGTGTGATGATTTGCATTTAATATTTAAAAATATGTAAAATTATAAAACAATCATGTTATTCTTGTTAAGAACAAAAAAGCATTGAAGTTTATACCTAGAAGAAGTAGACAATAGGACTTTAATGAAAGAAAAAATGAAATAGAAGATGTATAGAAAAAAATGTAAAGAAAGTAGGAAGCAAAGGAATGCCCATGTTACCTCTTTGCTGAAAGGTAATGAGTTTGCCTTCAAGTTGGAGAAATTCCCTTGGAGGCTTGGACAACTTGGGGTCTGGGTTTTAAGGGCAATAGGAGACCTGGAGTTCATGTACACTTCTGTCTTCTGACTTGCTTTCTGGGGTATGTAGGAACACTGTTCTCTGGTAGATGTACGTGAACATGCATACCCCTCCATTTCAAATCTCATAGCTGTAACGTGGGTGCTCTTGTGACTGCAGGTTAAGTACAGACATCAAGAGAATGATGGGAGGTTGCTGACCCCTTGAGCCTGTTCCCACATAAATCATTGTATTTCAGGTAACCCCTGGCTCACAGATTGAAGTTCATTTAATTTCCTCACTCAGAATAGCCATCCTATTGGTTTTCTTTCTTCCCTCTCTCCCATTCCCTTTCCCACCTGAGACACCTACCTAATCACTTTGCTACTCCCTCCCCCTGGCTTCTCAGGTTTTTAGCTATTTCCCCCAATATTCCTCACAGGGGGAAGGGCAGGAGCAAAGTTAAATCCTTTGTCAACACTTCAGGGTCTCTCTTATTCCTTCTGTTTCAGATTACCTTGGCTCTGATCATTGGGCAGAACCAGGCCAAGAAAGCAAATAGGGAAAAAGAAGGAGAAATAACATCCCCTTTTCACAGTAGCCCAAGTAATTTGGTCCCATTTACATATTTTTCCCCAGAAAACTACCCCCCTCCCCAATTCTTTGTCCCAGCCTATCTATCTGCTATTCTGGAAGCCCCTGGCTTTATACTCATGCTACACATTTTTATACTAAATCTTCACCAACTAAGCCCCAGCCCTACTCCCACCCCCGACACAGGGGCCACATTAATTCCCTAGAACCTGAAGAAAGGTTTATTCCTGCTTGGGAGAGCAATAGAGAGAAAGGGTACAAGTAAGTTCTTGTCACCCTAGTTCAGAATCCCAGATGTATTTTCACATAGAAATTGTATTGCAAATGATCATGTATTTGCCATGGAACTCATGTTACAAATCAGTCTCTAACAGAACTGTTCTTCTGGAATATTATGGATTAAATAGATATTTAATGAACATAAAGGTCTGTGCCACTTTATTGGCTGTGTGTTTGGGACAGTTCCCTAATCTCTTTACGCCTTGGTTTCCTCATCTGCAAAAATCAGAATATCCACATCTTCAGAGAATGTTGTAAGGGTTCAGATGATGTAGGTGCCAATAAAGCAGGTCCCGTCCTTATTCCCAGATACCTGCCTCTTGAATTCCACAGCACTGGCAACTGACATAACTCCCATGGAAGGATGTTTTCCAAGGGCCAAACCTGATAGATACGCTTTCTATATTGATGAGCACCTAGCACTAGTGACCAGGAGCTTTTAAAGAAGACTTTGGCCCTCTTTTGATAAAACAGCACTCTCAGAAAAAGAACCCTGAAGTCTCCTCTGAGTTAATAAGGTTATTAATTATTACCATTCACAGAATACTTTCTATACATAATCTGAATTTATATAATTGTTGTCCACATTTTATAGGTAAGAAAGATAAGACACAGAGAGATTAAATATCTTTCCCAAAAACATTGAGCTAGTAAGTAGCAGAGGTAGGATTCCAAGGGCTCTGCTCTCAGCCTCCATGCAGTGATACCATCCACAGTTGCCTTAAAGACTAGTTGGGTCACATTAGAGCAAAATGGGTTAATTTTCCATTGTGTATTTGCTTTGTAGACTATTACAGTTTTGACAGAGAAGTGTAAGCTCCTTGCAGGGGCTGGGAACCTGCCTGTCTAGTTTCTCTCCCTCTCCCCAGTGTCTAGGATAGTGCCTGGCTCATGGCAAGAACTCAGTGGTTGGATTAGTTGACTCAGATTATCTCATGTTTATAAAAAGTCATCAGATAAAATAATATATTCACAAATAAGTTATAAAGTGTTACGGTAAGTACAAGGTACAGCATACGGTATTATGATAGGCAGGCTCTAGTAGTGTTGCCTTTTCTGGTAATCTTGTCACCTTTATCTTTATATCATGATGAATTCTCCAAAACTTGCTCCTCAGTAGGTATTTCCTCAAGTAGTGTTTCCTGGCTCAAAGGTTTGAAAAGGTCTATTGAAGTGTTTTTTTCAGTGTTATTTCTTGAAATATTTGTTAACAATAAAAATGATACTTTGCCTGGTCATTGCTGCATCAACACATTGACTGTTTTATGAGTTTCATATATCTTCATGACTGAGCTTTAGGCACCACTAACCCACCAGCCGCTCCTTGGAAGGAAGGGTGGGCAATCCTACTTCCATAGTGATACTGCCTTGGAAACCCAAGGAGGGGTCGCTATGAGTCAGGGCCGACTCGACAGCATATAACAACAAGAAGTAAACCAGGAGTTTACTTCTGTGAGTCATCTGCCTTCTGGATTTTGAAGCTGTGAAATTATCACAGGGCTCTCTAACTGCTCAGGCGAACATTTGAAAACACATGAAAGGATTAGTTCTTCTCAGATTCTCAGAGGTTCATGTTTTCATAGGAAGCAAGTTAACTCTGTAGAAATCTAAATTTAAACACTTGGTCCAATATGCCAGGTTTCTCTTGTACTTCCCAAACAGTTGAGTAAAATGCTGTGGTACATAAAGAAATGATAGATGCCATTAACTTAGAGGAATTGATATTTTTGCTTTAGAACCGCTGTGAATGACTACTTTCCAGCAGTGCAGTGCAAACCGCACGTGCTTCACTCATCTGACTGCCTTTCATCCTGACTCGCTCTGCTGGGTGGCACAGAGTAGTAGCTTCAGAGCAGTGGAATCTCAGACCCTGGGCAGGTCTGCATTAAAAAGCAGCAGACTACTCTTCACAGTAGAGGATAAGTGATGCAACAGTTTAATCCACGTAACCTCATGATTTCACACATGCTCAACAAGACAGTAAAAGCAAAATTAATTCTAAGGTCCAGTCGTCTTCATTCTAGTTTGAGTAATCATAGGAGAGAGAGGTATAAGTTACCCATGAAAATGCTTTTGTGTCATTTTGTAGAGGAAAAAAAATGCTGCAAGTGGCCACAACTTTCATACAGAATCTGAGTTAGACTAAGGTTTTGACAGAGCTGATAGGCAAGCAGCTGTGTGGTAGGAAAAGTTCAGGAGCCCCCATGGTACATTCCCAGCTCTGTGGCTGGCATGCCTTCTCCCCTGGGCTCCCTTCTCGAGAATGTTCGAAAATTCTGTGCATGTTTCAACTGGCTTAAAGTATTTTCACTTCAGGACTTTTCAAACTTTTTTCCTCATTTATAGAAGCAATACATTTCGCATTACAGCCTGCGACATACTCATATATTTAACTGAAGAAACAAATTTATCCTAACAATGTTTGATGCATTCTAAGATTTTTTTTATTTCCTTAAAAAAAAGGTAAACAGTCCATTAAGGTGATTTTATGATTCTCTGGTGGGTTTCGGGATTTCCTGAGTGGCACAAATGGTAAAGTGCTCAGCCACTAATCGAAAAGTTGGGAATTTGAATCTAGACAGAGGCACTTTGGAAGAAAGACCTGGCAATCTACCCATTGCCATTGCCATCAAGTCAGTTCTTACTAGAACTGCCCCCATAGGGTTTCCTGGGCTGTCATCATCATGGGAGCAGACTGCCACGTCTTTCTCCTGCAGAGAGGCTGGTGGGTTGGAACCACCGCCTTTCACTTAGCAGCTGAGCACTTAACACCAGGCCACTAGAGATCGCTCCCAAAAGATCACAGACATTGACAACCCTATGGAACACAATTCTGCTCTGACATACTTGGGCTCACTGTGACTTGGAATTAATTCTTCGGTAACTGGTTTTGTTTTTGTTTTAATGGGCTTTGAATCACAATATGAAAAATTAAGCTTTAAATTTAACATATCAGCTGATCTCTCCTAATTTACTCATCACAACCTGTTGTGGGAAATTAGTCCAGTGTTTTGAAAGAAAAGAATTTAAGGAACAGAGGAAAGGTGAGTAGTGTCCTCCTTGTCCAGTAGGGCCCATTATGCTCTCAGGCAGCCATGTGAAATCAGGCATTAAATGTCATAGGAGTGGAAGAGGAGGAGGGCTAGACTCTCAGAGAGGGGCAGAACAGGGGAGTGCAAGCTTTGTTTGCTAACACATAGGCTATCTTAGAGATGGAGCAGATCTTTGAATTCCTTTAGTTCAGCTTTTCATCCAGTACAAGAACATGGAGGATGTTCTGCCTATGCCTTTGTATGTTATTTGAGTGGCACAGGAATTCTCTAAAAGTGTATCCTCATTTCAGAATGAAACTAACTTTCTATTTGTGTTACGTTTTGTGTTGCTAGTACTTTGGCATGTTTTTATGAGTAAAGGAGAATGATCAATTTTAGTAACTCGCAGTTTTTAGTAATTTCACAATGCACAAGGTGTTTGTCAAAATTTTATTTTCCTGATGGCAGTTGTAGTTTGTAGTCAGTTGATTTTTTTCCCCTTTGTGTTCTATTGACAGAGGAATTGTATCACAACCTTATTTATCATGACAAATACTAATTATTTAACCATTTTAAAAAACTTAGTATGTTTCTTTTTTGTACATCTACTGCTTTGAGTGCCCACTAAGCCCTTCCCTGTGTTTTCACAGGCCTTGGTAAAACAAAAAGGAAAACAAGTGCAAGAGACGCCTCCCCGACACCGAGTACGGATGCGGAATATCCCTCCAACGGCAGCAGTGCTGACCGCATTTATGACCTCAACATCCCGGCCTACGTGAAATTCGCGTATCTTGCGGAGAGGGAGGATGAGCTTTCCTTGGTGAAAGGGTCCCGGGTCATCGTCATGGAAAAGTGCAGTGATGGTTGGTGGCGAGGAAGCTACAATGGACAGATCGGTTGGTTTCCTTCGAACTATGTCATGGAGGAGGTAGATGAAGCAACTGCAGATTCCCCGAGCTTTTTGAGCTTACGGAAGGGTGCCTCCATGAGTAACGGCCAGGGCATGCGAGTCCTCCATGTGGTTCAGACACTGTACCCGTTCAGCTCCGTGACCGAAGAGGAACTCAATTTTGAGAAGGGAGAAACAATGGAAGTGATTGAAAAACCTGAAAATGACCCAGAATGGTGGAAATGTAAAAATTCCCGGGGGCAGATTGGCCTTGTTCCCAAAAACTACGTGGTAGTCCTTAGTGACGGGCCAGCCCTATACCCTTCCCATGCGCCTCAGATAAGTTACACCGGACCTTCAGCCACTGGACGGTTCGCAGGGAGAGAGTGGTACTATGGGAACGTCACGCGGCACCAGGCAGAGTGCGCCCTGAATGAGCGGGGTGTGGAAGGGGACTTCCTCATTAGAGATAGTGAATCTTCGGTAAGTCCCTGCCAGTCTCTGAATTTTGCCCAGCTCATTGGTGTTTTTGAGATAAAATAGTAAAGATAAGTGTGTGTGTGTGTGTGTGTGTGTGTATACATACGTACATTGAGAGGCCTGGGTGGTGCAGATGGCTGATGATGTCAGCTGCAAACCAAAAGGTTGGAGGTTCAAGTCCACCCAGAGGTGCCTAAGAAGAAAGGCTTGGAGATCTTCCAGAAAATCAGCCACTGAAAACCCTGTGGAGCACAGTTCTACTCTGACACACATGGGGTCTCCATGAGTCCATGTTGACTCAGCAGCAACTGGCTTTTTTGGTTTTATTTATACATGTACGTACACCTAGACATACACCTTTGATAGATTGCACAATAGGACCTTATTATGCCATTTCCTTTTCAGCTTATGTGAATATACTTGAAATAGAGAATATTTAGGAACTCTAATTAGGATAGATGAGTAAGATTTAGTATGAACCCTATAATTTGCTTAAATCTGTTCAATATATTGACTCACCTCTTCAGTTACCAATTATTCTCCCAGAGATGTATGTATGGATATGGAAGGGTAAGTGAAACATTTTCAGTTTGTAAAGTCTTTCTGCCTCTTTTTACAGTTTCCTGATGCCCTTTTCAATTCTACAGACTCAGGTATCATTTTCTTTCACTGTTTCCCATTCTATTAATGATCCTCACCTAGACACTATGATTTGTTTTGTTCCCTCTGTGTCTGTGTCCAAGGCATAGAGATTGTTCTCAGTGAGATGGGTGCCTGCTCTCTGATACAGCCTTTTGTTGGTTGGTTGGTTTTTCTTTTTAAATCATATAATCCCAAGGTCATCTCTACTGCAGGCAGCACTACTAAGTTCATTTCTAAAAAGCTTTTAGAGCACTTACGAACTGAATTGGAAAGAAAAATACAGTTCTTGAGAGAGATGAGTTTGTGTGTGTGAACTGAATCAAGGTATTGAGTCCATCAGACTTGTAGCAACAAATCCATTTCTAGCAATAGTCAACTTTAGGGTTTATGGTTAATATGTGTGGCTGAGCTTCTCTTGAAGAACTGGACCAGTCATGCAAGGCAAGTTTTACATATGTGCATTATGGAAATAACCAGTTTTTGACATCTCTTTCCAAATATGACATCTAGGTAGAGACCAGTATATTTTGCATTTGTTGTTATCCATATGTTTTCATTGGCCTCAAACACACCAGGAGTTGTGAGGATGGCACAGGAATGGACAGTGTTTCATTCCATTAAACAGAAAGTCAGCATGAGTGGGAAGCTGACTCCATAGCAAGCAACAACAATTTTATATTTAAATTGTATTGATTATAGTTGGCTTCAGTTTCACTTTTTTTTTTAATGCAAAACATAATGCTAGTTAAGTATATACTATGTACTAGTAATTACATACTCTGAAAATGTTGATAACATGATAAATAAGGATATACTCAAGCTGCCTGTTGACTGATCCGAGTGAAATTCAAGGCTACAGAAATGTTTCCCCTTCAGAGACAGAGTCAACTGTGATCTCTTCTTTGAGGCAGAAAAAGCACCATCGTCATGGAAATAGGAATTCTTCATGAAGTCAGCAGCTTTGTGAAGTCTGCTGCAACCTTAGACTTTGCTTGAGCAAGCACCGAGGGCCTGAAAGTTAACTACATCTGATATGTGAACTCCCAGATTTTCTTATCAAGCCACAAGAGTTTATCATTTCTGGCAAGACATCACTTTAAATTGTTCTCACACCCTGTAAGCTCTGTGCATAGCTTCCTTTACATCATGTCTGAGCCTTAAAAGAATTAAATACACTAATACTTTTAATTCTGTCAAATAGAAACTCAGAAGAAGCACTGAAAAACCAATTATAGTATAAAGTAGGAGGTTCAGAATCCTTAAAGAATAAGTAGAACTCAGAGTCAAAAGGATAATCTTCATTTAAAATTGTCAAGTTGAAGAGAATTCTTAGAAGCCTGACAGTGTGAAGACGTTGGTCCCATTCATTGTTCTTGCTGTCTAGGTCTTGGAGGAGAAAAGGAAAGTCCTTGGAAAGTAGTTAGATGAGAAAAAACTCATCAAAGGTTGTTTGCCTTGGGGAAGATCTAATGCTTCTCTGTTGGACTGGCAGTTACTGTCAGCAGTGGTCTTTGCTGTCTGAACTCAAAGTCCAAATCTAGTTAGGGATACATGTACCATCTGGGCTCCATCTCAGAATCTGATACCCTCTAATGTCTTGTGGTGGAGTAGAGGGGAAGGGGTGGTGGTTCAGTGGTAGAATTCTCACCTGTCATGGGGGAGACCCAGGTTCATTCTCAGCCAGTGCATCTCATACACAGCCATTACCCATCTGTCAGTGGGGTCTTACATGTTGCTATGATGCAGAGCTTACAGACTATGATGAACTAGGAAGAAAGACCTGGCAGTCTACTTCCAAAATACCAGCCAGTGGAAACTCTGGATCACAGTGGTCCAGTTCCCAACTGATCATGGGGATGATGCAGGACCAGGCAGCATTTTATTCCTTGGTCATGGAGTCACCATAGGTAGGTGGCTGACTTGATGGCAGTTAACTATGTCTTATTTATCTTACATTATTAGAGAATAAACTAATTTTTAAAAAATAATAGAAATGTTAATTGCTTAAGTTTTGTTTTCACCATCTTTATGTAAGCCTTTCTAGGTTTTTTGCATTCTGCCTTGATTTAGAAAACCAAGCACTCCAACACTAGGTGGCTGTTGTTAGGTGCTGTTGAGATGGCTCTGACTCATAGCAACCCTGTGTACAACAGAATGAAACACTACTGTGTCTTGCACCATCCTCACAATCCTAGCTATACTTGAGCCCATCACTCCAGCCACTGTGTCAGTCCATCTCATTGAGGGTCTTCCCCTTTTTCTCTGACCCTCCACTTTACCAAGCATGATACCTTTCTCCAGGGAATGTTCCCCTCTGACAACATGACCAAAGTAGGTGAGACAAAGTCTTGCCATTCTCCCTTCCAACGAGCATTCTGGATGTACTTCTAACAGGTGGCTATTAGGATATTTTTGTAACGTGCCGTGGCCCTTTGATTTCAGAGGGTTGGAGATGGAAGATGAGAAACTAGCCTTGACAGTAATTTGCTGGGCCTTGTGTCAAACCTGCATATAGTGGTCCGCTCCTGGTCTTAAAGCTGTCGTGTGGCCTCACAATGTATAGGTTTTTTTTTTTTCCTGGTGGATCTTGCTATAGCATGAGTTTTCTGTTCGTGTTGTGCTTCCCTTGTGCCAAGGGCTGCTGGAAGGGACTTCTAAGGCTTACTTCGTTTCCCCTGACTGCTCAACTCTACCAACCTTGCTGCTGTTTCTTGTTCATCACTAGGGCTCTTCTCCACTGCTATTTGCTGCCATTTGGCATATCTACCCTGGTGGTCTCCCTTGAATATTCTCTTTCCATTGTTTGCTGCCTCTGCTTTTTGCCAGTGTCTCCCTCTCTGTATTCTCCTTCTCCTTTATCTTTTCTATTTATTGGTCTTTCTAAGATTAGAGTCTGGTTTTCACAGCCACCACCAGGCCAGAGAGAGCCCTTAGGTTCACAGTCTGGCCTATCATGTAGTGATGTGTATAGAATGGAAAGACTTCTGATGAGATCAGTTTTCCAGTAAGTCTCAGAGATGCCTTTATTTTAATTTCCTTTTTCTCTTTTGTAAACTTTGGGTCTAAAACTTTTCCTTTGATGAAGGATGCCACAGGAAGCTTGACTTGGAGTGTACTAGTAAGAACGGTAAGAACGTATTATTTTAGAATATCCTAAGGGATTCCAATATAAATGAAGTAGACTCTTGATATATAATCTTTTTCATTTAAAAATGCTTAATGCTTTTATGTATTTTTTGTTCTTACTTTTATGGTGGTGAAAACACATACCACAAGACATTCACCAAATAATGACTTCCACATTTACAACTCAGGGACATGACATTTTTCATATTGATGCATGTTAATACTTTTGAGTTTTAAGGAATAAAATAATACTCAACTCTGAGTCCTAGGAGGTCAGTGTTTTTTTTTTTTTTTTTTTAAGGGGGAGAGGTACATATTTTGAAAAACAAACAAACAAAATGATCCTATCCTATGATATCCCATGTCAATGAAGTTCTGAGTATTTCAGAGAAATCAGTTAAATTCATATTTTATCAGTGAATGAATGAATGAACAAATGAAATACCAACAAAATTCTTTACCTGTTTTAGTTCTCTTTCATATTCCTTCCTCTCACTTATTTTGATCTCCTCTCTTTGTATATCTGCAATTGGCATTTATTCCTAGCAGCTAAGGAGAAAATATTCTTTCTTATTCTCCATTTTCAATCATCATACCTCTGCCTGCTAAATCTTTGTTTATTAAATCTGGAAAATTCAAAAATCCAACCATTTATCTGTATATTCATCCTATACCCTTATATATTTTGTCCACATTTATTTAATATATGTTGGTTAGAAGGCAGTACTTACAATGAAGAATAAGTAGTAAGTAGATTTATAAATAGTAGCTGTTTAAGTTGTCAGTGTTTATCATTCCTAGATTGCCCCAAAGGAGCCCTGTTGGCACAAATGGTTCAATGCTCAACTGTTAACCAAAAGCCTGGCAACTCAGACCCACCCAGCAGCTGTGCTGGAGAAAGACCTGGCAATCTGCTCTAGTAAAGATTACAGCCTAGGACACTCTGTGGGGCAATTCTACTCTGTCACCTGCTAGTGCTATGAGACAAAATTGACTAGACAGCACCTAATAACAACAACAACTTTCCTCCTTCCTCTCCCTCCTCCTCCTCAAGATGATTCGAAAACTGACAGGTTACAGCTATGATGAAGTCTGAAAAGTTACAATACCTATCTAGCTTCATAGCATCAACTAATGGTTAGGAAGTCATTTACATCTGTAAGACTTAAAAGATCCCATAGAGATCACACTTTTCTTACATTTATCATAGCCCACAATAGTATTTAAACACTAAT